TCATATGGGGGGGGGGGGGGGGGGTCCACTTTTGACACAAGCCAGATCTGATTTTACAAAGATTTAATCATGCAGATTTACAAGATGCACGTAGCATTTATTATGGATAATAATTTTCTTAAAAGCTGAGCTGAACAGACAAGAGAATAATGTTAATTCGATGGAAATTTCAACACATAGCCACATTCAACTCCTTATTAAAAAATACACAACCTCATAAGCTGTGACTATGAAATCAACTTAAACTTCCCCTGTAAACCAGTTGAAGCAACGTAATGTAGGCCTAAGTAGACAGTTGAAGCAACGTAAAGCAGGCCTAAGTGGACCAGTTTTGGGGTTCAACAAGGGAGTGCATACTTCTAACAGAGACCAAGCAATGTAAACAAAACATTGCTAGATTCTAGGTCTCGCTACTCAGCAGTGAAGAGATTTGAAAAAATCAGCTTCTTTCGAAACTGACATCTGTTTTACAGTACATGCAGCCTATAGATCTAAACCTTGTCGAACATAATGAAAGGTAACTACAACAACAATAACAACAACAACAACATCATCAACAGCAACAACAACAACAACAACAACGATAGGCTAACTAACTAACTAACTAACTAACTAACTAACTAACTAACTAACTAACTAACTACAACAACTGAGGACAATGTTCATTCTAAACCCAGTGCATATTACGGATAATAAGTTTCATCGTATCTTCATTGATACCAGTACATTTTCTAGACCGTAACTTGGTACCGGTACCGGTGCATTTTCTAGGCCGCTACATTTGATACTAATTTTAAGGCTTTCAGTTTTTCGTTCATGAGTGGGCAAAAGCTACCACTTTTCGCACAATCAAATTTAATCAAACCCTCAGTTTGATATGCTTGATGTGTTTAAAGAAAACAATCAGTGAGAAGGCTACAAGCATTGCGGGGGCAGATCTTTTGTTTGAGCTCATCTGGATCACATGTTATGAAACTTAATAATAGAGGATTATTGTTCTAAAGTGAACTAGAGTCCCCAAAAATTGACCCGACCAGATTCAATCCGATCAATCCGATCAGATTCATTTGACTAATGGGAATATCCGCTCCTCCATACGCCCAGTGACAAAATGCTTTTTGCTGTATCATCATCAGGGGCGGTAACATTTCTCAGATTGTGCAATTTTACGAATATAGATTATCTAGGTCATTCGTTCGTTGCGCTTGTTCTTTATAAGTACATAGCGGCGCTCGTTTGCTAGGTATGCTAAATACAAAATAAAACAAGACAGAAAAAAACATAATTAAAAAACAAACAAACAAACACAGACACAGACACAAAAAGAATTGACCCTCCTCCCCCCACCACAAAAAAATAAAAAAATATAGATAGATAGATAGATAGATAGATAGATAGATAGATAGATAGATAGATAGATAGATAGATAGATATTTCTCCTCCACCCGAAACCCCCCCCCTCCCACCACCATGGCCAACAACAAAGAAAAAAAAAAGCAAAACAACTAGATCTATAAGACAAGAAAAGGCGAAACAAAGCTACAGAATGGAAGTATGTTCATGTACATGCATTAGAAACAAACGAGGACTGTTATTTTTCTTTGTCAATAGAGTATGTTACGTGTAATCTGATTTAGGCAGCGTAACGTTCTGCTCTACGAGAAAGAGAGAGAGAGAGAGAGAGAGAGAGAGAGAGAGAGAGAGAGAGAGAGAGAGAGAGAGAGAGAGAGAGAGAGAGAGAGAGAGAGAGAGAGAGAGTACAGGAACGTTCGCAATGGTTGCAAAATTGAGATGGGAAAAGCACCCACAATAATTTTCAGGTCTGGAATTAGAAGAAAAACAACAACAACAACAAAAACAAAACAACCAACAACACCCCCCCCCCCCCAAACGTTGATTAACTGGAACATGTTCTTGGAAACGTGCATGCGTTGATTTATAGATCTACTAGATTTTGTACCTGCTTCATTTGAATGGCTCAGCGTAATATTAATGGTTCTGATATTCTGCAGTTCTACTTTCACGGTAGGCCTAGATCTATGTACCAGACCTTAAATTGAACAATAATTGAGAGGTATACATAATAATAATATAGATTCGTTTATTTGGTAGTAGGAAATACACTCATTAGTTCTGCATTCACGTATCGTTATGAGTTTGAAGCAGTTCCTGTTGCACAATGAGTTATGTAGGCAGAATTTCAAGCCGATCAGATTCATTTTAACCATTGGGAATACCCGCTCCTCCATACGTTAAAAGTGACAAACTGCCTTTCGCAGTATCATCATCTGGGGCGGGAACATTTCTCAGATTGTGCAATATTATGAGTACGGGTATAGGTCATTCGTACTTTACGCTTGTTCCTTGTACACACATAGTGGCCCTCGTATGCTAGACCCATTAAAAGACACGCCCCCCCCCCCTTTCTCCCCTCCCCCCACCTCCGAAAAAAAAATATAACCCCCACCTCCCCCCCGAAAAACCCCCCTCCCTATTTACCCAATCGGGTAGTGTTTATAAATAAAAAAAAGACCACCCAAGAAAGAAATCGAGGGGAGAAACGCCCCCCCCAACATAAAATTTAAAAGGATTGGGTAAGTTTGGTAGTTTTCATCAGAGAAAATTTGTTATTGGTTGGGAGGGCGGTGGAGAGGTACGTAGCTGGAAGGCGTACGGAAAGAAGCTTACCCGCCTCGTCTCTCCTCCCGGAGGGGCACCAACGGAGTTGATGGTATCATTGTTGATACAGAACTACGGCATGGTT